CACAGACCATTGTGAGATATTGAGGCTTCATTCTAAATAACAGGATTTTAAGCAGGTAAGAGACAGCATGTTCAGGAGTGAACTTTATGCTATTTTAGCTCCTCTAACTCACAGGTAGGTATACCTCTATACTAAACCCTACGCTAAATTAGATTTTAGAATGTGGAGGGATGATGCCCTTGTTGACATTACACCATTGTTGTGTTAACTAAAAGTTATAGGAGGCCTTTGTTTTGGACTAAGCTCGTGCACTAGGCCCCAGTAGACCTGACTAAAAATCAAAATAGAGACATTTATACTTAAAGTTCCACCTCACCAAATCAAAACTACATTTTTATCTGATCTTCCTAGAACTCAGTAGAGAGAAATAACCAAATTTCCCACACATGCCAGTTTCAGTTGTCATGACAATGAAGTTCGCTCTGCCTTTGATGCTTACAACAAAAAGTAGGCTTATGTCAACCAATTATTCCTGTATTTTTCTGTCCCTCTGTTCCCAGTTTAGGAGGAAAGTACCTCTGAAATGACTAAGCTGCTTTTTGTTCTTTGTTTCTACTTTCTTCAGCCCTTCTCTGTCTATAAAACCAAACTTCTCTGCTCTGCCCCTTGGGACACTTACTGTATTTTATGGAATAAAGTATTTCCCGATTCTAGAACTGTTACAGGAAAGAGGTCCCAATCCAGACCCCCAGAGAGGGTTCTTCAATCTCGCGCAAGAAAGAATTCAGGGTGAATCCATAAAGTGAGAGCAAGTTTACTAGGAAAGTAAAGGAATAAAAGACATAGAACAGTCCCGAGGGCTGCTGGCTGCCCATTTTTATGGTTATTTCTTGATGGTATGCTAAACAAGAGGGGATTATTTGTGCCTCCTCCTTTTAGACCATATATGGTAACTTCCTGATGTTGCCATGGTGTTTGTGAACTGTCATGGCGCTGGTGGCTGTGTAGCAATGAGGACAACCAGAGGTCACCCTCGTCACCATCTTGGTTTTGGTGGGTTTTAGCTGGCTTCTTTACTGCAACCTGTTTTATCAGCAAGGTCTTTATAACCTGTATTTTGTGTCGACCTCATATCTCATCCTATGACTTAGAATGCCTTAAGCGTCTGGGAATTCAGCCCAGTATGTCTCAGCTTCATTTTACCCGCCCTCTAGACAAGATGGAGTTGCTTTTGTTCAAACACCTCTGACAGAATCATAAATAAAGCCAATTAAGATCTTTCGCAAAATTGTTGTAATTTTGTCTTTTGACAGTTGCAATGGCAAGGAATTTGAGATTTTAGCATTCATAATGGCACTTTTCTTTGACCTTTCTTTCTGCCTTTCATTTGTATCGTATATTCCCTACCCTACCGTGTCCTTTGAGATTGCCATGTAGCCTAAGGTGATAACCAAATCTAGGAATACATAATCGGCTTTTGGCAGAACCTTACTAATGTATACATAAGAATCCCAACAAGGATAGCAAAAAATTAGGATTAGCCTTCTCTTTTCTATGCTCCCTTTAATTTATACAGATCAGTGACTTATGTAAATTATTTATCTTTCATCTTTGCAAATTTCCATCTTATTATCTTAGGTGGCAAGATTTTATTTTTATAGACATGTTATTTTGATTGACTAACAGGATTAGTATCACTTTAACATCTCTCTTACATAGTCACCACATTTCTATGTTTGTGATCATCTTTATGGAGTACTATACCAAAAAGATTCTACTCTTTTAAAACGAGTGACCTCCACTTTGTCGGTTTGCTGATGCCAGTGTCAAAAACAGTATCACCCATTTCAGAATTGAAAGCTTTTGCCATGTGCTTAAAAATGAAAGTTTCTTAATACAGCTTTATCTCAAACAGTTACAAAGACCTTTGTTGTAAGGCGTGTATTTTATGTTATAAATAAGCTAATCCATTTAAAAAATTAGTAAACCAACCAACCTTTTTTTTTTTTTTTTTGAGACAGAGCCTCAAAGAGATCTATCGCCCAGGCTGGAGTGCAGTGGCATGATCTTGGCTCACTACAACCTCTGCCTCCCAGGTTCAAGCAATTCTGCCTCAGCCACCTGAGTAGCTGGGATTACAGGTGCACACCACCACACCAGGCTAATTTTTTATATTTTTGGTAGAGACGGGGTTTCACCATTTTGGGGAGGCTGGCTCAAACTCTTGACCTCAGTTGATGTGCCCACCTTGGCCTCCCAAAGTGCTGGGATTATAAGCGTGAGCCACCACACTCTGCCACATATCAACCTTTTAATTTTTTTTTTCTTTTTTTCTTTTTCTTTTTTTTGAGGAAAAGTCTCACTATGTTACCCAGACTGGAGTGCAATGCCATGAATACAGCTCACTGCAGTCTTTATCTCCTGGGCTCAAGCGATCCTCCCAGCTCAGCCTCCCAAGTAGCAGGGACCACAAGCTCATACCACCATGCCCAACTAACCTTTTTTTTGTTTTTTGGAGAGATGAGGTCTCACCATGTTGCCCAGGCTGAATTTTTAAAAAGAAAGTATAAAGAGAACATCGCTACAGGCATACCTCGGAGATATTGTGGATTGGGTTTCTGACCCCTGCAATACAGCAAATATTGCAGTAAAGTGAGTCACAAATTTTTTGGTTTCCCAGTGCATATATTAATAAAAGTTATGTTTACACTATGCTATAGTCTAAGTATGCAATAGCATTATGTCTAAAAAATACATATCTTAATTTAAAAACACTTTATTATTGAAAAATGTTAATGATCATCTGAGCCTTCAATGAGTCATCATTTTTTGTGGTGGAGGGTCTTGCCTCAGTGTTGATGGTTGCTGACTGCTTGGGGTGGTGGTTGCTGAAGGTTGGGGTTGCAGAGGCAATTTCTTAAAATAAGACAACATTAAAGTTTGCTGCATTGACTCTTCCTTTCACAAAAGATTTTTCTATACCATGTAGTGCTGTTTGATAGCGTTTTACCCACAGTAGAACTTCTTTCAGAATTGGAGTCAGTCTTCTCAAACCCTGCCACTGCTTATCAACTAAGCTTATGGAATATTCTAAATCCTTTGTTGTCATTTCAACAGTGTTCACAGCACCCTCACCAGGAGCAGGTTCCATATCAAGAAACTACTCTCTTGTTTATCCAAAAAAAGCAACTCCTCATAAGTTCATGCCTTATCATGAGATTGCAGCAATTAAGTCACATCTTCAGGCTCCACTTTTTAATTCTAGATTTCTTGCTGTTCCACCACATCTGCAGTCACTTCCTCCATTGAAAGCTTGAACCCCTCAAAGTCATCCATGAGGACTGGAATCAGCTTCTTCCAAACTCCAATTAGTGTTGATATTTTGACTTCCTCCCATAAATCATGAATGTTCTTATTAGCGTCTAGCGTAGTGAAACCTTTCCAGAAGATTTTCAACTTACTTTGCCTAGATCCATCAGAAGAAGCATTATCTATGGTAGCTATGGCCTTAGGAAATGTGTTTCTGAAATAATAAGACTTGAAAGTCAAAATGACTCCTTGATCCATGGGTAGAGAATGGATGTGTTAATAGGCATGAAAATAATATCAGTCTCCTTGTGCATCTCCATCAGAGCTCTTGGGTGACCAGGTGCATTGTCAATGAGCATTAATATTTTGAAAGAAATCTTTTTTTCTGAGCAATAGGTCTCAACAGTGGGCTTAAAATATTCAGTAAATCATGCTATAAACAGATGTGCTGTCATCCAGGCTTTATTCTTCCATTTCTAGAGCACAAGCAGAGTAGATTCAGCATAATCCTTAAGGGCTGCAGGATTTTTGGAATGGCAAATGAGCACTGGCATCAATATCAGGTCACCAGCTGCATTTGCCCCTAATAAGAGAGTTAGCCTGTTCTTTGAAGCCTTGCAGCCAGGTGCTGACAAGCCTTGAAGCCAGGCGCTGACTTCTCTAGCTATGAAAGTCCTAGATGTCATTTTCCTCCCATATAAGGCTGTTGTGTCTACATTTAAAATCTGTTGTTTAGTGTAGCCTCCATCATTAACTAGTTAAGATCTAGTTATCTTAGCTAGATCTTTTGGATAACTTTCTGCAGCTTCTACATCAGCGCTTGCTGCTTTACCTTGCAGCAAGTTATGTTTTATGTTTTGGAGATGGCTTCTTTTCCTAAACTTCAAGAGCCAGCCTTTGCTAGCTTCAAGCATTTTTTTCTGCAGCTTCCTCACCTCTCTCAGCCTTCATAGAATTGAAGCGCATTAGAGTATTACTCTGGATTAGGCTTTCGTTTAAGGGAATGTTGTGGCTCGTTTGATCTTCTATCCAGACCACTAAAATTTTCTCCATATCAACAAAAAGGCTGTTTTACATTCTTACTTATGTGTTCACTGGAGTAGCACTTTTAGTTTCCTTCAGTAACATTTCCTTTGCATTCCCAACTTGGCTGTTTGGCACAAGAAACCTAACTTTTGGTCTATCTCGGCTATCAACATGCTTTCCTCACTAACCTTAATTTTTATTTCTGTCTTTTGTTTTAAAGTGAGAGACATGTGACTCTTCCTTTCACCTGAACACTTAGAGGTCATTGTAGGGTTAATAACTGGCCTAATTTCAATATTGTTGTATCTCAGAATAGGGAGACCCAACAAGAGGGAGAGAGATGGCGGGGCAGTCAAATACACATTTATAGATTAAATTCGTCTTATACAGGTGCAGTTTGTGGTGCCCCAAAACAATTACAATAGTAGCATCAAAGATCACTGATCACAAGTCACCATCAGATATAATAAAAATGAAAACTTTTGAAATATTGTGAGAATTACCAAAATGTGACAGGTGGAAAGTGAGCACATGCCGCTGGAAAAATTGACTTGCTTGAGACAGGGTTACCATAAACCTTCAATTTGTAAAAAAAAAAAAAAAAAAAAAAAAAAAAAAAAGAAATGCAATATCTGTGAAGCTTAATAAAGTGAAGCATAATAAAATGAGGTATGTCTGTATTTTATTATTTTACTCCTCTGATTTTTTTGTTTATTTGGAGATAGGGTCTTGCTCTATCACCCAGGCTGGAGTGCCATGGCATCATCATAGCTCACTATGGCCTTGATCCCCTTGCCTTAGCCTCCCAAGCAGCTGGTACTACAGGTACGTGCCACCATACTCAGCTAATTCTCTTATATTTTTTGTAGAGACAGTGTCTCCCTATGTTTGTTGTCTCCCTCAAACTCCTGGGCTCAAGTGATCGCCCCCCACCGCAGTCTCCCAAAGTGCTGAGATTGCAGACATGAGCCACCACCCTTGGCCTTCCTGGTGTGTTTTATACAAGGATATTAAAACACTTTGAGCTATCATTTGACATGTAACATTTTGCTTTTTCTGTTTACAAAATCTGAAGTCTTCTTTTCTCTTCAAGATGTATAAAATGAGCACACTGAAATCTAATAAAACGATATTTCAGCTAAAAAAGAACCATTTCCACCAATTTAGGTTCTTTAAAAGATTCATATAAGTTCGTGTACAGATTGAATATACCTTATCTGAAATGTTTGGGTCCAGAAGTCTTGTGAATTTTGCATTTTTTAATATTTGCATACAATTAATGAGATACAGGAATGAGACCCAAATCTAAACATAAAAGTTGTTTATGTTTTATATACATCTTTTACACATAGCCTGAAGGTAATTTTATACAATACTTTTTTTTTTTTTTTTTAGATGGAGTTTTGCTCTTGTCGCACAGGCTGGAGTGCCATGGTGCAATCTCAGCTCACTGCAACCTCCGCCTCCTAGGTTCAAGCAATTCTGCTGCTGCAACCTCTTGAGTAGCTGGGATTACAGGCATTCACCACCATGCCTGGCTAATTTTTGTATTTTTCGTAGAGAAAACATGTTGGCCAGGCTGGTCTCGAACTCCTGACCTCAGGTGATCCACCCGCCTCGGCCTCCCAAAGTGCTGGGATTATAGGCATGAGCCACCGTGCCCAGTCACAATTATTTTAATAATTTAGTGCATGAAACAAAGTTTGTGTTAAGTACTTACGTGTGGAATTTTTATTTGTGCCATCATGGTGGCACTCAAAACATTTCAGATTTTGGGTTTTGGACTTTCAGATTCAAGATGCTCAACCTGTAGTTCCCTTTGTATTGATGGCAGACACAAGTTTTGTATCTTCTTGTAAAGGTGTGAAGAAGCTAAATGACATCTTTCCTGAATTACTGGGATAGAGCATTTATTAAGAAACAGGATACAAGAATTTGCTTAAACCACACTGTTTTAAATCTGATTTTCTTCCTGTTAATATTTTAAGTAGAAAAAGAATTAATTTTCCAATACATTGATACCACCTTCACTTTGAAAGTGAAACACATGACATCTATTAGCTTTGCAGTAGAGGTTGTGATTTTCCTAAGAAATGAATATGCGCTGTAATGAAAGATTTGCTAGTCATCCCAATGACTATTTTGTTTTGCAGGCCACGGTGTGAACACATGAATAGAAGAAGAAAATTTCTTCTAGCCTCAGTACTTGCTCTCCAGAATTCAGGTTTTATATATCCATCATGTCAGAAGTGCTTCTCTAGGATAATCCTGGTCTCCAAAAGGTAAAAGTAAAGTCTGTACGGGTGAGAGAGGAAATACAAGTGCACACTGTAGATTTCCTATGGCTCAAGGGCAAGGACCAGATTTACCAAACCAGGACAACTCTCAGGAGTTGGTTCTTCTGTAAATCCCAGAATAGATTTCACTGCTAATCATCTATTACTAGAGAAAAGTTTTAAGTTACTGTCAAGTCCTTTGCTAAATGCTTGCCTCATTGAAGAAAAATAACTTCTCAGTAAGTCCCAATACTGGGTACAAAACTTAACCCATTTCTGGGATATCCCTGGGAATAATACAGGAGGCTTTTGTTTATTGTTTGTTTATTTTTGCATGATCCTTAGAATAGTTTTTAATGTAAATAAATAAACTCCTTGAGACCAGGGACTATGTTATAGTAATTTCTATCCTTTAGCAACTAGAAAGGTGTTTGGCATATAATTCTTTATTATGGTGCTCAGATGCAAGCCAACTATACCTGAGAGCCTAAGGTCTTCCTCTTATCTTTATAGAGTAGAAATGAGAGGTTAGGTTTGAAGTTTCTCCAGAACACTGTCTCTCTGCATGGAAGAGAGGATAAGAATAACTAGTAAGTAGCTAGAACTATGTAAGAAAGAGTAGTGTGCCAGCAATATTCTTAACTAGTCTTTTTATCTAGTTAGCATTGAATGGGGAGGCACAAAGGGAGATGGGCAGTTCTAACTCATATCTAGACTCTAAGTAATCCTTGAAGTAGTTATCACACTGTTCCTTTATTAAGCCAGTCTCTCAAGTACTCGTTTGTAAGCTCTGAGAGAAAGACCCTGTTTGTGTTATTCATCATTAAATCCTTGGCATCCATCTTCAGGCTTAGTTCATAGAAAATGTTCAACAAGTGTTCGTTAGACGAATGAATAAGTGATAGCATGATAGTGTTTAGATTGTCTTAGGTTCACCCATTGTCAGGTTCCTGCTTGTCATTTGAAACAACTAAAACCCACGGGCTATTTGCCTTTCATCAGAATCTATACTTAGAAGCAGTGTGGTATACAGTCCTTACTTAATGTTGTCGGATTCTAAGACACCGCAACTTTAAGCAAAATGATGTATAGTGAAACAAATTTTTTTCTCATCAACGTTATAATGATGTTATTTGAGAACCTGCTATAAGTAGTTTTGCTTAAAGTCACGGTATCCAAGAACCTATCACTAATGTTAAATGAGGACTTACTGTAATGGAACAATTTCAAGCTTCAGAGAACACAACAGAGTTGCATGTAGTCTCTGGCTCTCATTAACTGTGTGACCTAGGGCAAGATATTTAACTTCTGTGAGTCTAATTACTCATTTGTAAGGTGGGATCATGGTACCCACAATATGGGATCATTGTAAATTAGAGATAATGCACAGAAATGTTCTAGTAGAATACATAACATATATTAGAATTTCCAAAGTGGCAGCTATTATTATTATAATCTATTATAAGTATACTTTACCTTATTGCAGTATGTTATCATGATTAAAAGCATAATTCTCTGGAGCTGACTGCCTGGATTCAAATCACAACCCTGCCGTTACAGCTGTGTGGCCTTGGGCAAGTCACTGTAATTATCTGAGCCTCAAAATGGGGAAAGTGATATCTGCCTCGTAAGGTTCTTGTAAGGATCAAATAGGTTAATATACATAACATGCCTAGAACATTGTGTGATACATTATCAGTAATATATAGATATAAAATATTTTTAAAACTCTTTCTGGTCATTTATTTTAAAGATAATCTGCAACAAAAATTTAGGTTGAACAATAATGCCATTGTTACTTATTTAGACTGGTAATACCAATAGATAACATTAGTGAGTGTTTACTGTACAGTAGGCACTGTGCTAGGAGCTTTGTGGGCATTATATCTTTTAATACAACAGCCCTATAAAGTGAATGCTGTTGTTAATGCCAGCCTTTAAAGGAGACAACTGAAGCTTGGAAAAGTTAAGTAACTTACCGCAAATCATCACACAGCCAGCTAGTTAGGGGCAGAAACATATTCAAGCCTACACAATCTGAATTCTGTCTACCTTCATAATCACCATATTACTTCCAAATTGGCAGTGAAATTTGTATTCAGAATGACATCTTCCTCTGTCTTTCTTAGAGCTTAAAATGCCCTGGGAAAGGACTTGTGACAGGACTCTTTTGGAATATAAAACCCATGGCACATAGTCCTTGCCTGTGGAAACATAGTCCATGGAAATATAACCTGTTTTCTGCACATACTACATTGACACAAAAATTTTTTTAAACTATATCCGTAATTTCTGGTGCTTATCTTTTTTTCCCCATAGGTTATTGGGATACAGGTGGTATTTGGCTACATGAGTAAGTTCTTCAGTGGTGCTTTGTGAGATTTTGGTGCACCCATCACCCGAGCAGTATACACTGCACCCTATTTGTAGTCTTTTATCCCTCACCCCCTCCCACACTTCCCCCGAAGTCGCCAAAGTCCATTGTATCATTCTTATGCCTTTGTGTCCTCATAGTGTAGCTCCCACATATCAGTGAGAACATATGGTGTTTGGTTTTCCATTCCTGAGTTACTTCATTTAGAATAATACTCTCTAGTCTCATCCAGGTCACTGCAAATGCCATTAATTCATTCCTTTTTATGACTGAGTAGTAGTTCATCTCATATATATACACACACACACACACCACAGTTTCTTTATCCACTCATTGATTGATGGACATTTGGGTTGGTTCCACGATTTTGCAATTCTGAACTGTGCTGCTATAAACATGCGTGTGCAAGTATCTTCTTCACATAATGACTTATTTTCCTCTGGGTAGATACCAGTAGTGGGATTGCTGGATCAAATGGTAGTTCTACTTTTAGTTCTTTAAGGAGTCTCCACAGTGTTTTCCGTAGTGGCTGTACTAGTTTACATTTCTGCCAGCAATGTAGAAGTGTTCCCTGATCGCTGCATCCACACCAGCATCTACTGTTTTTTGATTTTTTGATTATGGCCATTCTTGCAGGAATAGGCGGTATTGCATTGTGATTTTGATTTGCATTTCCCTGATCATTAGTGATGTTGAGCATTTTTTCATATGTTTTGTTGGCCATTTGAGAATTGTCTATTTATGTCCTTAGCCTACTGTTTGATGGGATTGTTTGTTTTTTTCTTACTGATTTGTTTGGGTTCATTGTAGATTCTGGATATTAGTCCTTTGTCAGACGTATAGGTTGTGAAGATTTTCTCCCACTCTGTGGATTGTCTGTTTACTCTGCTGACTGTTCTTTGGCCATGCAAAAGCTCTTTAGTTTAATTAAGTCCCAGCTATTTATCTTTGTTTTTATTGCGTTTGCTTTTGGGTATGCCAGTGTCTAGAAGGGTTTTTACAATGTTATCTTCTGAAATTTTTATAGTTTCAGGTCTTAGATTTTTAATCCATTTTGAGTTGCTTTTGTATAAGGTTCATTCTCCTACATGTGGCTAACCAATGATCCCAGCACCGTTTGTTGAAAAGGGTGTCCTTTCCCCACTATTGTTTGCTTTGTCAAAGATCAGTTGGCTGTAAGTATTTGAGTTTATTTCTGGGTTCTCTATTCTGTTCCATTGGCCTGTGTGCCTATTTTTATACCAGTACCATGGTGTTTTGGTGACTATGGCCTTATAGTATAGTTTGAAATCAGGTAATGTGATACCTCCAGGTTTGTTCTTTTTGCTTAGTCTTTCTTTGGCTATGCCAGCTATGTCTTGGTTCCATACGCATTTTAAAATTGTTTTTTTCTAATTCTTTGAAGAATAGTGGTGGTAGGGATTGCACTGAATTTGTAGATTGCTTTTGGCAGCATGGTCATTTTCACAATATTGATTCTACCTATCCACGAGCGTGGGATGTGTTTCCATTCGTTTGTGCTGTCCATGATTTCTTTCAGCAGTGTTTTGCAGTTTTTCTTGTAGAGGTCTTTTGCCTCCTTGGTTAGGTATATTCCTAAATTTATTTGTCTGGTTTTTTGTCTTTGGTTTTGTTTTTTTGCAGCTATTGTAAAAGGAGTTAAATTCTTGATTTGACTCTCTGCTTGGTCGCTGTTGGTGTATAGAAGAGCTGCTGATTTGTGTATATTAATCTTGTATCCAGAAACTTTGCTGAATTCTTTTATCAGTTCTAGCAGCTTTCTGGAGGAGTCTTCAGGGTTTCCAAGGTAAACAATCATATCATCAGCAAACAGTGACAGTTTGACTTCCTCTTTACTGATTTAGATGCCCTTTCTTTCTTTCTCTTGTCTGATTGCATTGGCTAGGACTTCCAGTAGTATGTTGAAGAAGAATAGTGAGAGTGGGCATCCTTGTCTCGTTCCAGTTCTCAGAGGGAATGCTTTCCATTTTTCCCCATTCATTGTTATGTTGGCTGTGGGTTTGTTATAGATGGCTTTTATTACATTGAGGTATGTCCCTTGTATGCCACTTTTGCTGAGAGTTTTAATCATAAAGGGATACTGGCTTTTGTTGAATGCTTTTTCTGCATCTATTGAGATGATCATGTGATTTTTGTTTTTAAAATTCTGTTTATGTGGTATATCACATTTATTGACTTATTTATGCTAAACTGTCCCTGCATCCCTGGTATGAAACCCATTTAATCATGGTGGATTATCTTTTTGATATGTTGTTTGATTCAGTTAACTAGTATTTTGTTAAGGATTTTAGCGTCTGTGTTCATCAAGGATATCGGGCAGTAATTTTCTTTTTTGCTTATGTCCTTTCCTGATTTGGGTATTAGGGTGATGCTGCCTTCATAGAATGAATTAGAGAGGATTCCCTCTTTATCTCGTGGAATAGCGTCAAAAGGATTGGTACCAAATCTTCTTTGAATGTCTGGTAGAATTCTGCTGTGAATCCATCTGGTCCTGGACTTTTTTTTGTTGTTAATTTTTTTTTTTTTTTTTGAGACGAAGTCTCACTCTGTCGCCCAGGTTGGAGTGCAGTGGCATGATCTCGGCTCACTGCAAGCTCCACCTCCCTTGCCA